CTCCAAGCTTTAAGCCCCACTGGTTGCAAGAACTCACGAAACTTGGAGCCACTCACTTTCCAACCCAATTGTTATGGGGATTCATGTTCCCTGTGTGTTCCCCTTGGTGCTAATCTGTCCCTTGTGCTTGGTGACAGGGGTTCCCTCCCCACTGCAGCGGCCATGATCTCTCCCAACCATGGCTCCGCGCTTCCTGCCTTTTCCGACGTGGCCTCTTTTCTACCTTCAGTTGTGGAGTTTGTTTTGGAGAAATCCAGGTCGATTTCTGGGGTATTCAGGATGACTTAATAGGTATCTAGCTGTATTCCTGGGATGAGGTGAGCCTAATATCCTCCTACTTCACTGCCATCTTCTCCTCCTCCCATTTTCTAAAGTCTCTTTTAAATTGCTGTTGCTTGTGATTCAAATGGATGAGATTTATTTTCGTATTGTGCTTGCATTCTGGAACCTTAGCAAAAATCCGATTTTCTGCTCATCTTCTAGTTCCTTATGACTCTTGCATTAATACTTTTAGCTCTGAATATAGGCAACTTTTTTGTTCATAATTCTGACATTTTTTTTTCCCTCTGGTGACTCTGGATGGGCTGTCACCTAGGAGTGAGGTCATGGGACTCCCTTTTCACCAAGATTAATTGGGAAAAATTTGCACTCTCTGTACTCTTCATGCATACTTTTTTTTTAAGATTTTATTTATGTATATATTTATTTATTTGTCAGAGAGAGAGAGAGAGATCACAAGTAGGCAGAGAGGCAGGCAGAGAGAGAGGGAAGAAGTAGGCTCCCTGCCGAGCAGAGAGCCCGATGCAGGACTCGATCGCAGGACCCTGAGATCATGACCTGAGCCGAAGGCAGAGGCTTAACCCACTGAGCCACCCAGGCGCCCTTGCTAAGAGTTTCTATTTGGATTCATGTTGAATAGGGTACATCTTCCTTTATCTGTTCAGATATTTTGACATTTTTCCTTTATTGTGGCATTGTGATGTCATAACTGATTTCATTGCATTTAATTGTAAAATGTAGTGTTTGTATATAAAATGCATAGGCGATTGCACAGTGACCTAAATATTCTAAACGACACGCAAGCCAGGACCTGGTGGAAGCCCTCACACCAGACATCCCCCTTGAAATGACTCCAAAGACAGGCCTCCTCTGTCTGGGCAGATAACAGTGTATGCATCTCTAAGTCAGTAGATTTTATTTCTGTATGTTTTCTTTTGAAGAAAGTTGAAAAATTCGGGACAACAAATTCAGTTTCTTGTAAATGACAAATGGTCAAAAACCAATTACTTAGAACTAGAATCTAATATCCACAAAGGTGCATTGCTATCACATAACTACGACAGGACTAACTTATAAACCAAGTCTAGTTTCAATAAACTTAGCCTGATTATTTACATAAATGGAAAAAGCCTAGTGATGGACCATATAGACTCCTTTAAATCTGCTTTGTTGATCTTTTCTTAAGGAGTCTCACACTGAAAATTTTAAAAGCTGCTCAAAGCTAAGAAGCCATACCCAGGAGTTGCCATCACACTTTGCCTGCAATACATATAAATTCAGGTGAATTCCTCTCTTCTTGAGGTCTCCAAAATATCCTAAGGTTTCTGCTCCTGCCAGGAGGTGACCTGGAAAGGAAGCTGGGAACCCTGTGAGCAAGGTATCAGGCTGCCATTTCCAAGTGACTCCACTGACTCCATAAAACCAGTTTAGTGGACTGGTCTGGTCACATCTGAACATATGCGGGTCTCTCTCAAATATGACCTTCCATTCCAGCCTCGACAGTATAACAAATGTATAACAGCTGTGCCCTGTTACAATGAGAACAGATTCTTACTGAAGTTATGCAAATATATTGTCAGGAAAATGCAAATAGAGTTGTCCCTTCAAACAACACAAGTTAGAACTGCTTGGGTCCACATATATGGATATTTTAAGAAATAGATAAGTGATATTTTACTGTAAATTTTTTCTTATGATTTTATTAAAAATATTTTCTTTAGCATAGTTGACCATAAGAATACAGTATATCATACATACAAAACTTAATATATGTTAATCGATTACTTGTTATTGGTCAGGCTTTTGGCCCACAGTAGGCTAGTAGTAGTTAAGTTTTAAGGGAGTCAAAGATGTATATCGATTTTTAACCATGCAGAGGGTTGGTGCCCCTAATCCCTACATTATTCAAGGCCAACTATACTCATTAAGTTTCCAAGTTCTGGGGGATCAGATGGGGAGAAAAAAATTTTTTTTCTGTATTGTAATTAAACTGATGTGAAACCAGGGAACTGGAGAGCAGAACCTGAGAAGGACAGCAGCCCCATCTCGGTCACTCAATTTGCAACATGATTTTGCTTCTTGGTGAATCACTCGTAGAAACTGCAGAAAGTAATTTCTGCACAAAGGAAACTATTTGCAGCAAATAAGGAGGTCACAGGGAATAATTTCCAAATCTGTGACTCCCTGAGCAAGGGTGGATGGGTTCCTTTTGTTTAGGGTTCGGGTGGATTTTTTTTTTTAAGATTTTATTAATTTATTTGACAGAGATCACAAGTAGGCAGAGAGGCAGGCGGAGACAAAGAGAGGGGGAAGCAGGCTCTCCACGGAGCAGAGAGCCCGATGTGGGGCTCAATCCCAGGACCCTGGGATCATGACCTGAGCCGAAGGCAGAGGCTTTAACCCACTGAGCCACCCAAGTGCCCCACAGGTGGATTTTTTTTTTAAGATTTTATTTATTTATTTATTTGAGATAGAGCACACAAAGGGGTGGGTGGGAGGCATACAGGGAGAGGGAGAAGCAGGCTTTCCGCTGAGCAGGGAGCCCAGTGTGGGGCTCAGTCCCAGGAGCCTGGGATCACGACCTGAGCTGAAGGCAGATGCTAAACAAACTGAGCCACCCAGGCGCCCTGAGGGTGGATGTTTCAGTAGGAAAATCATACGTAGAAGCAGGCAGGGTGTGTTTGCATCCTAAGGCCACATGCCTATACATACATTGGATGTTATGTAAATGAGGCTGGTGCTCCTCGTCGGGTGGAGATTTTCATATTCTAACGAGGTGAAGGTAATTCTTGGGCACTGCAGAGGTCACACTCTGACCCGTCTGTGCCGGTGTGAGTGGTCTGGCTCAGACTGGTCTGGGCCCACTGGAGGTCTTACCAGGGCAGTCACTACCACTGGAGCAGTAGTTTTGGGTTTCATTTGTCTGAGTGAAGAAATACGCCAAAAAGAACGTAAGGAAGCTAGAGTTCAAGCTGGTGGGCAGTGGAGGTGTCAGGTCTTGGGGTCGCGTTGGTGATAGTATTTGTTTGCAGGGGTATATCTTAGCTTAAGAGAAGGTTTCTATCTGGAATAGCAAACATTAAACAGTAATGTTTCAAACAAGGGTCATAAAAACTGTAATTATCCTTCTCCGTTCTTTCAGTCCCACGTCATTCTGGTTCTGTTTGAATCTGGCTTTCCCGCTAGTCCCAGTAATGCTCACGCAGTTCAGTTCTGTGATCCTAAGGTTATCAGAAACCTGTCTTGTCAAAAGTCCTCTCCATGAATCTCCTTGAAAATGAGGTGCTTTTGCAAAATCAGAGCAAAACGATAGCTGTAAATGACAAAAGAGTCAAAAATGGCCATGGATCTGACCATGGGTCTGACCAGAATTCATTCTAGTGCAGCGGACACAGAGGTTTGGTTATTTCTGTAACACTAAACACTGAAGTAACTAGAATTGCAAGTGGTAACATACCAGGACATACCAGATTTCTAGGAGTTTCACATGCTTTCTACAACATTGATGTATCCACACAAATACAGCCTAAAGAAGGTTTAGTATTCCTTGTTTGACAGTTTCCCGTGTAATTTAATGTATCCAGCAAGCCTAGTTAGTTTAACATAACAAATTCTCTGGAATATTCTAGGGATCTTTCAGGGGATATCCCAAGTTTTCTTTCAGATCAAGAAGCTTCATTTAGAATTTGATTTGGGGAAGTTTGTCAGAAACATCAAAAGGAGTTTTAAAGCACTTGGTCAAATTAGGGCCATAGGTCACGCTGTGAAACAGCACTTCGGTTATGAAACAACGTAACAGTAAAAGATTAAAAAGGCAAACCCAGGGGTGCCTGGGCGGCTCCGTGGGTTAAAGCCTCTGCCTTTGGCTCAGGTCATGATCCCAGGGTCCTGGGATCGAGCCCCACATCGGGCTCTCTGCTCAGCAGGGAGCCTGCCTCTCTGCCTGCTTGTGATCTCTGTCTGTCAAATAGATTAAAAAAAAAAAGGATGGTGTGGTCCGATTTCCCATGAGAACATGAGACACCTCCAGTCACAAACCCCCTAAGCTGTGATGCTGGGCAGGTGCTCACCCACAGAGTGATGAATGAAATGACAAACACCCATGCTGGACTGGGACACTTTATGACATTTCCCCGAGAGCTGGCGTGGCCAAATGAAAAGTGCTGTTTGGAGCCCCAGCCTGTTCGACTGGACCCCAGGGTGCACCCCAGGAAGTGCACCTTCCAGATGGTGGGGACCAGAGTGCATGTTGTTACAGGTCACAAAGCCACGTTCTCAGGATACAGAACAAGTGAGTTCTTACGTGCACAGTAACAGCTTTAGCGAAGCCTTGGGTCTCTCAGAGCCACATGAACACCTTCCTGCTTGTGCCCAATAATTTTGTGGATTCGGCTTCCACCTGTTCCTTAGCAACAGCCTTTACCTCATGTGCATGTTAACGCAAAGCCACGTTTGTCTAAAAAGATACTGGTCTGGGGGGAACTATGAACTCGCGGGTCTGTCACGCTGGCTTGAACAGCAGGCTTGGATGCTGTGTTCTGCCGTATGGTTTCCTTTCTTATGACAGACAACACAACAACGTATGACCATCTCTGAGAGAAAAAGGACCACTAGAGTTGCTCAACTCACGGAACCAATTTCACTAATATTTTCTCCTGCTAATCTAAATTTAGAGAAGAAAAAAGAAGGGGCGGCCTCTCACCACTGCTTCCACAGGACTGTGCAGATGGACATACAAGACTCTAATGTAATTCCGACTTTTTGCCAACTCTTGTCAGACATCCCAGCCTCTTCCTACTGCAACAGCTTTGGGGTGAGAGCCGTGTCTAGCTGGTGAGGCCCCCTGGTGGGCTTGCCAAAGGTGCTGGGGAGGAAAATTTTTTCTGTACCCTTAAAGGTTCTTCTGGTCGGTCTTAGAATTACATTGACATGAGATCAATTAATAAGAGGAAATCAAACTTAATTTTATAACATTGGAACCCAGCATACAAGAGAAGTTCAGAGACAGGTAAAATGAGGTATCTACGCCATCCTGAGCATAGGAATGGGATGGGGACCTGGGGCTTCAAAGGGAGGAGGGCAGTTCACAGGCCCATAAGAAGAACAGATGTTTCTTAATCAGATATTTGCCCTGCCATACAGATGGGTCAATCAGATAAAATTTATCTCTGGTAATAACTCTTATTCCGGGAAAGACCCCCAACTTGGATTTTCCTAGGTAGTTAAGGGAGGGACAAGTTTCTCTTGAACCTGCAGGGTCTCAAGTGCCTTCCTTTCAAAATAGTCCACATGCCAAAGTAACATGTTTTGGGGAGATTTGACCTGAACCCCTTCAGGAGTAAAATATGTTGGGTAAATCTGGGACAGCAAAACAGGGGCCTTGACCTCTGGGATGTCATCTGTCATCTCTGTAACGTTGGGAATGGGAGAATAAATGGCGAGAATCTACAAATCTAAAATTCCATAGTCAGTTGAAGTTCATTCATTGCCACCCGGTTTTAACCTGGCAGATAGGCTACGTCGGAGTGGGGTCGGTGGTAGACTAATGACCCCAGGATTGAGCATATTTCTAACGATCAGTGAAGGCCCTCTGGGCCTTGCCGCAGCTGACACTATGCTGCATTTACTGTTCTCACTGGCCGAGGCAGGTGATACTGCCATTTGGCATCCCCATGGGTGATTAGAAGCATGACCCAATCCAATCTGTCTGTGGTGCCAGCTGTGATACTGTTAATTCGCATTTGTCACGGGGAGCCCTAGGGTTTCTGAAGAGTCCTGGTTCTGCAAAAGTCTGCAGGAGAACTGAAGTAGAATTTATCACCCCCAGTCCTGGAAGTGGTACACGGCGTGCTTGAGGGGCCGGGTGGCAGGTTACTTCAGGTGCAAGGCAGAGTATCACCGGGAGAGAGAATTTAGTTAGGTCACATGTCATGATACACTCTGACCACCTCTGCCTTTCCTTGGGTTGTGTGATCCGTTCACACTGTTAGCATCATTGTGGCTGTCTTGTGCCTTGGTTTTGTTTTTGTTTTTAAATATTTTATTTATTTTTTTAAAGATTTTGTTTATTTATTTGACACAGAGGAGAGATCACAATTAGGCAGAGAGGCACGCAGAGAGAGGGGGGAAGCCACAGAGAGCCCAATGTGGGGCTCGATCCCAGGACCCTGAGATCATGACCCGAGCCGAAGGCAGAGGCTTAACCCACTGAGCCACCCAGGCGCCCTTAAGGATTTTATTTATTTGTCAGAGAGAGGCGGAGAGAGAACACAAGCAGGGTGAGCAGCAGGCAGAGGAAGAAGCAGGCTTCCTTCAGGACTTGAACCCAGGACCCTGGGATTGTGACCTGAGCCGAAGGCAGACGCTTAACGGACTGAGCTACCCAGCTGTCCCTGTCTCGTGCCTTTGTTCCTATATTCCTCTACTACTTTGTTTTGCATTAATATTTTCCAGTAAAGCATTTCAATTTGTTTAATTACATTTTTAAGTATTTTTTTAAGATTTTTTTTATTCATTTGACAGAGATCACAAGTAGGCAGAGAGGCAGGCAGAGAGAGAGGAGGAAGCAGGCTCCCTGCTGAGCAGAGAGCCCAATGTGGGGCTCGATCCCAGGACCCTGAGACCATGACCTGAGCCAAAGGCAGAGGCTTTAACCCACTGAGCCACCCAGGTGCCCCATTTTTAAGTATTTTTTAAAAGATCTTTAAATTGGATGCTTTAGGGTTACAAAATACCCCTAATCAATTAGCTTCAGATTTATGATTGCTTAATCAAAAATTCTGCAGTACAGAAATTGTACCCCAATGTAGTTTTTTTAAGATTTTATTTATTTATTTGACAGAGAGAGATCACAAGTAGGCAGAGAGGCAAACAGAGAGAGAGAGAGAGGAGGAAGCAGGCTCCCTGCCGAGCAGAGAGCCCGATGCGGGACTCGATCCCAGGACCCTGAGATCATGACCTGAGCTGAAGGCAGATGCTTAACGACTGAGCCACCCAGGCGTCCCTCCAATGTAGTTTTATTCCCCCCCTTTATAAGGCATTATTTCCCTGTATATTACAAATTAATGTTGCAAAGCCAACAATGCATGCTTTAATTAATGCTTTATCATCTCGAATCACTTCCATCCCTCTTCCATTACAGTTTTACTCCTACCCATCTCCTTTGTGCTGTTATTTGGGAATTAGTTTACAAATATTTTACGCCCCAAGTTTTATATACCCAACAATGCATTTTAACACTATTTTACATCATTGCCTTTGGAATCAGTTAAGAAAATGAAGCAGAAAAATATGCATTTATGTCATTATCTTTGCCAATTTTCTTTACTTTTTTGTGTGGATTCAACTTTCCTTCTGGAAAAAATTGCAATCAGTTTTTTTTTTAATTAAAATTCCTGTTAACATACAGTGTAATATTAGTTTCAAGTGTATAATTTAGTGATTCATCACTTACAACACCCAGTGCTCATCACAAGTGTCTACTTAATACCCATCATCTGTTTCCCCCACCCCCCACCCTCCCCGTCTTCTGGTAACCATCAGTTTATTCTCTGCACTTAAGAGTCTGCTTCCTGGTTTGTTGCTCTTCCCCCCACCCCCTGTTCACCTGTTTGTTTTTTTCTTTAATTCCACATGAGTGAAATCATACGGTATTTGTTTTTCTTTGACTGATTTATTTTGCTTAGCATAATACACTCTAGCTCCATCCACGTCGTTGCAAATGGCGAGATTTGATTCTTTTTTATTCCTAAGCAATATTCCATTGTGTGTGTGTGTGTGTGTGTGTGTGTGTATCACAGCTTTTTTATCCATTCATCCGCTGATGGACATTTATGTCCTTTCCATAATTTGGATATTGTTGATGATGCTGCTATAAACACTGGAGTGCATGTATCCCTTCAAATCTGTATTTTTGTATCCATTGGGTAAATATCTAGTGGTGCAATTGCTAGGTCATAGGGTAGTTCTATTTTTTTGTTTTTTTTAATAAAAGATTTTATTTATTTGACAGAGAGAGAGATCACAAGTAGTCAGGGAGGCAGGCAGAGAGAGAGGAGGAAGCAGGCTCTCCGTGGAGGAGAGAGCCCGATGTGGGGCTCGATCCCAGGACTCTGGGATCATGAACTGAGCCGAAGGCAGAGGCTTTAACCCACTGAGCCACCCAGGCGCTCCAGGGTAGTTCTATTTTTAATTTTTTAAGGAACCTACATACTGTTTTCCAGAGTGGCTGCAGCAGCTTGCATTCCCACCAACAGTATAAGAGCGTTCCCCACTTCTCCACGTCCGTGCCCACACTTGTTTCCTGTGTTAATTTCACCCATTCTGACAGATGTAAGGTGACATCTCATTATCCTTTGGATTTGCATTTCCTGATGAGTGATGTTGAGCATGTCTTCATGTGTCTGTTAGGCATCTATCTGTATGTCTCTTTTTTGGAAAAATGTCTATTCATGTCTTCTGCCCATTTTTTTAAACTGGATTATTTATTTTCTGGGTGTTGAGTTTGGTAAGTTCTTTATATACTTGGGATACTAACCTTTTCTTCATCAGTTAAATCATTTGCAGGTATCTTCTCCCATTCCAGAGGTTGCCTGTTAGTTTTATTGATTGTTTCCTTTGCTGTGCAGAAGCATTTTATCTTAATGAACTTTCAATAGTTTATTTTTGCTTCCTCAGGAGACATATCTAGAAAAAAGTAGTTGTGGCTGAGGTCAGAGAGGTTGCTGGCTGTGTTCTCTAGGATTTTGATGTTTTCCTATCTCACATTTAGGTCTTTCATCCATTTTGACTTTCCAGTTTTTCCAACACCATTTTTTGAAGAGGCTTTTTTTTCTCCGTTGGATATTCTTTCTTGCTTTGTTGATGATTAGTTAATGAGATAGCTGTGGGTTCATTTCTGGATTTTCTTTTCTGTTCCATTGATCTATGTGTCTATTTTTTTGTAATACAGCTTAAAGTCTGGAATTATGATGCCTCCAGCTTTTCCTTTCATTTTCAGGATTGCTTTGGCTGTTTGGGGTCTTTTGTGGTTCCATACAGATTTTAGCAGTATTTGTTCTAGCTCTGTGAAAAATGCTGGTGACATTTAGATAGGAATTGAATTAAATGTGTAGATTGCTTTGGGTAGTATAGACATTTTAGTAATGTTTGTTCTAATTGATGTTCCATTTCTTTGTGTCATCTTCAATTTCTTTCATCACTGTTTTATAGTTTTCAGAGTACAGATCTTTTACCTCTTTGGTTAGGTTTATTTCTCAGTATCTTATGGTTTTTGTTGCAATTATAAATGGGATATACTCTTGATTTCTCTTTCTGATGCCTCAGTATTGGTGTATAGAAATGCAGTACCTTTCTGTACACTGATTTTGTTTCCTGTGATTTTACTGAATTTTGTGTATCAATTCTAGCAATATTTTGGTGGAGTTTTTTGGATTTTCTGTATAGAGTATCATGTCATCTGCAAATAGTGAAAATTTTACTTTTTTCTTGCCAATTTGGATGCCTTTTATTTCTTTTTGATGTCTGACTGCTGAGGCTAGAGCTTCCACTACTATGTTAAATTACACGGGTGAGAGTAGACATCCCCTGCCTTGTTCCCAACTGTAGAAGAAAAGCGGTGAGACTTTCCCCATTGAGGATGCTATTAGCTGTAGGTTTTTCATATATGGCTTTTATTATGTTGAGGTATCTTCCCTCTGACCCTACTTGGTTGAAGGATTTTATCTTGAATGAATGGTGTATTTTGTCAAGTGCTTTTCTTTTTTTTTTTTTAAGATTTTATTTTTATTTACTTATTTGACAGAGATCACAAGT